GTACAGTAGTAGAGCATCCAGCAGCAGCAGCAGCCGCAGCCGCAGCGACGGACGACCGCCCACCAACTGAATAAATAAGGCGGGAGGCACGTGGAACCAGCGAGCGACGCATCGCCTTTGCGGTTGCGACGGCTATCGCAAGACGCGGCGTTCTGATCGGTGCGAGCGTTCTCGATCCGCAGAAGCCTCGCAAACCAGACCCAGAGGCGTTGTCATTGATGTTGTGGTTGGTGTTAGTTGTAGTTGTGGTTGTTGTTGTTGGGTACCGCTGCTCAGCAGCAGTAGGACCTCATTCTTCCGTTCTTTTCCTTTCTTTTGGATGACAAACCCGGTAGACTGTGGCACACTTGTTGGGTCGGTATGTCGCACGTCGAGTGGTGGCGGTGACATGCGACCGCGTCTCGTCTGCTTTTGTGCGTCTCGTCTTGGAGTTGGGATCGATCGATGCGGATAGACAGGCAGACAAACCGATCGATCGATCGACCGACAGACCGACAGACAGACAGACCGACAGACAGACGGACCGACGGACGGACGGATGAACGACTCGACAGACGGGCGCGGCGTGCTCAGATAAATGGACGAGAGCCGGGCGCCGACAATCGAAGCACGTCGTGGAACGGCCTCGCAATCCAGCGGCCAGCCAGTCAGCCGGTCGAACTTGAGCCTCTGCGTGTGTATGGAAGAAAGAATGGACGACTGACTGACTGTGACTGCCGGACTAACTCTTCGTCTGTCTGACTGTCTGTCGAGAAGTTTGTATCCAAGAATCCATGACCGACCACTGATTTGGCCGTGTGGAAGTTTGGATCCAGAATCCATGGATACACTCCCAGACATACGCTCATACACACGCACACACACACACACACATGCGCGCGTGAGTGAGTGGCTGTTGCGATGGCGGTTGGTTCGGGCCGCAGCTGTTCCGTTTCAGCCACCGTCGGCAGTGTGACAACCGCTGCCGCCTCGAGCGCCACCAGCCGTTGCGTGCAGCTCTGGCTGTGTCACCCGCAAGCAGCGCCCAGAGCCAGGCGCGAGACGTAGCCGCCCGTCGCGTGATTTGTCCAACGTCGCTTGGAAAGCAGGCGGCGGATCTGGCAGGACGCGTGCGACCAGAAGCGCCACTCGGGTGCTCTCCTCCTCCTCTTCTTCCTCCTCCTCTGCCTCCTCCTCCTCCTCCTCCTCCTCTTGCTCGCACGGTTTTTTTCAGACTTCCCGTCTCTGCACGAGGCTTTGCAACGAGCCCACGCAGTAGCAATCAACGACGACAACGACAACAACAACAACAACAACAACAACGACCAGCAGTCGTAGCCCGAACAGCAGCAGTAGCAGTCGTAGTCGTAGTATCAGTTGTCGTAGTATCAGTTGTCGTATCAGTCGTAGAAGTAGCGGCCGTCGTAGCAGTCGTAGCAGCAGACGCAGAAAGAGTTCCCACTCGCTCACATTTCAATTTGCGCGAGTGCGATCAGCTCGAGCCGCCCGCCACCCAACCGCCAGAGCCCAAGAGACCGACTCCCAGTCAGTCCGACACTCTGTCACTCAACAAGTGCCTCACTCCCTCACTCCCTCACTCACTCACTCCCTCACTCACTCCCTCACTCGACCAGTGACTCCCTCACTCGACCAGTGACTCCCTCACTCGACCAGTGACTCCCTCACTCGATTAGTGACTCGTTTCGCCCTCAACATGTCCACGACGTCGTCCCCCGTCGCTGCTGCTCGTTCGGGCAGCAGTGAGACGCCCCTCTCGGTGCAGCGCCCCGTCCTGTCTCCCCGCAAGCGCAAGCGCAGCGCCATTGAAGCGGTTTCCCCCACGTCCCTCGACGAAGACGTGACGCCCCACAGCAGCAGTCGCACCAGCGCCGCCAGCCACAGCGCCAGTTGCACGTCGCTCGAGGCGCGCGTGATCTCACCCAAGAAAAAGACCAAAGCCGAAGACCGCAGCGGCGCTAACAGCAGTAGCAGCTGCAGCGCTCACAGCCGTAGCAGTGGCCCGAGCCACAAGTGGGAGAGCCACCACGTGGGGACGGCCGTCGCCAGTGCGCTGGATCTCGACGGCCTAGAGACAGCGGAGCCCATTGCGCTCTGGGCAGAGCCTGCGGGGGACCTCTCGGCCGCTGAGCTCGAGCTCCTGTGCCGCCTCTTGGCATGAGCGGAGCGCGCGCGCGTCCCGTGAGCTGCTGCTGACAGCAGACGTGGAGCAGTTTGTGCTGCTGCCACTTGGCATTCGTCGCGCGACAGCGACACGAGAGGGAGAGCGGAGATGGGGTTTGGACTCGAGCAGTGTCTCTCGTTTCTCGTCTCCCGCACGTCTTTGAGGTCCGTGTCATTGCTCGACATTGCGGTGCAAAGCTGCAACAGTGCAGCGCAGTGCTGCGTCCATCACCGGTGCAACGAGCTGCAACTGCTGCTACAGACAGACAGACAGACAGGCAGACAGACAGACAGATGGATCGACATACAGTCAGACCGTCAGACGCGACGGGTCGTGTCATCGCGTCTGTGCTACTGCTACAGCCACTGGCTCACAACGTGTCGCAGCGGAAAAGGAGGACAAGAGCGGAGCGCCGCAGAGGACCGTCGGCGGTAGCATTAGTAGCAGTAGTAGTAGTAGTAGTAAAAGTAGCACTCAATACTTATTAGTTATTTTGACTACTTATTTTGACTACTTATTTTGACTACTGGGTAGTTAGTTCTTCGTCGGAGACGTACGCCGCGCAGCCGGTGGCGATTCTTCGCGCAGAGTGCACGTGACACACTCAACTCCAACATGGACAGCCCCACATCATCTGTTCCTTTTCATGATTCCTTGCCCCGTTGTTGTTGTCTACGCCATTGCAAGTGGTCGGGAGGCGGTGGTGGATGGGGGCGGGCGAATGCACCACCCAAAGGTACCAACTGGCGACAACAGAGACGCGCTGAGGCACTTGACGCCTCACTCACTCACTGTGGCTTTCCATCGCCAGGCAGCGCCCCACACTGTCCTTCCATCGCCACACTCGTCGAGTGCTGCTTCAATAAACGACTGAGACGTTCCCCCGAGCCGCGTGCCTCTCAACACGCCATCTCGCGCGTCGCAACTCCCCATCCTCTGCTCTCCGTCTTGTTGCGCTCCCCTCGCTGCGAGACGTGGCCGAGTTGCTGATAGTAGAACCGGTGCGTCTGTTGCACACACTCTGCGGTTCTGGGACACGGTCGTCTGCTCGATCGGCACTGCTGCAACAATAACGACGGCCTCCGTTGCAAACTATTGCACACGCAATAGTTGCCTGGAGATGCCCATCAATCCCATTTGTCCATGTCGATGGGGAACGACCCAACAGATCTGAGCAGCACTGATCCCAGTGACGACGACACCACGAGACGAGCCAACCACTCGCTCTCGATCGCTCTGCCATGCGTCACAAACGCTGCATTTCGCTCGCTCGCTCGTTTGCACTTGCACTGTCGTCACGTGCGACTTGTCGCATCAGGGGCACGTCAACGTCCGTGTCCGTGTCCTGCTGCTCCACGTGCACGATCGGCTGTGGCCTCGCGAGTGCGTTGTACCGCTGAAGAAACGTCCCGAGCGCGCCAAAGAAGCCCTCGTGGTGGAAAAACTGCGCTTGCATCTCGCCCTTGGACCAAAAGCTGATGGCGTAGGCCAGCTGCCGACACGCCAACTCGTTCCGTCGGAGGAAGTTGCCCGAAAAGTAGATCCGCGTGGTCTCCACGCGACGTGCGTTCAGAAATGCCAACTGCCCCAAGTTTTGCGTGATCATAAAGAGCAGCGAACGTGCCAAGTCCGCGTGTTTCGGTAGCTGCGACAAGCGACGTGCCCCGACTTTGCCAAAGCTGCTCGCCACTGTGTCTGGCTTGAGCTGGAATCGCTCGTACCCAGCAGCGCCGTAGATGTCCCCGACCGTCATATCCACGACAGTTGAATCCCCTTCGACGCTCGCGTCCATTGCCTCGTCAAACGTGCGCAGTTTCGACAGTGCACGACACAGACCGAGGAACGTGCCCCCTCCAAGACTCGTGCCGGACACGCGCTCGTACTGCGCCTCGCCAGTGATTTTCAGTATACTCACACCGGAGCCAATGTTGACTAGCAGAAACGGGTACAGCTCGTGCTTCCCTGGCTTTGGCAAGATCTTTTTCGTTGCGCTCCCCAGTCCACACGTATCAGGAACGACATTCACGAACGTGTAGCACTCGTCTGGAGCGTTTTGCAGCACGAAATTGAGCCCCTGAATGAGAGCGTCCATCTCGTCGGCCCGTTCCAGTTCGATCCCCAAGCGCGACTCGAACAGCGGAGAAAACTGCAGCAACAAACACTCAGTCAGTACACGACACGACTTGTACCACCACCACCACCACCACCGCCGCCTTCTGCTGCATCTATGGGTGTGTGGGTGTTGGGCAAACAGCAAAGCTCAGTCCCCGTCCAGGACTCGCACCTTGAACGCCCCGCCGCCCGTGCACGCGATTTTTTTGATATACCGGTGGAAAAAGTGGCAGCGGACAAAGTCGGTCACCTCGTGCATCCGTGCAGTCGCGAAGCTATAGCAGCAGCAAGCAGCACCACCGTCAATCGTACTTACGGTACCACCACGTCGTCGTCGTGGTCGCTGCGACAACCTTCACGCGACACGAGACGCACCACACCAACCCGACACAGCACACCAAAAACGCACCTAATGAAATGGAGCGTGCCGCCCAACTCGGGCACGAGCATCTGGAGCCGCTCGTCGCGCTGCACGTCGTTTGAGCCGTACAGACCCATGAGGAAGTCGTGAATCAGCGGCAAACTGCCTTCCGGTCGCCTCGTGTCGCGCTCTTCGCTCGTTCCGTCCAACTGCTTCCGCTGGCGCTCCGTCTGTCGCCGCTGCGCGGCAGCCGCGCCGTCCACGGACTGGAAATAGACCATTTTGGCCAAAGTGCCGCCGATGTCGAGCGCAAAGAAGCGGCCGCAGTCGGCCGATTTGTCGCGTAGGATGTGCAAATGGAAGCGGCGCAGCTTGCGACGACGGGAGACGATGAGGCCGGCGATGCAGGACGCGCTGAGGAGGAAGAGGCGCGTCCAGAGCACGTGGAGAGGCCGCGTGGATGGCGTCGCCATGGCCGACCCGTCGAGCGACTTTGGATCGGCTGGTTGGTGGTGTGGTGGACAAAAGGATGAAAAGTACTGAGATTAGAGAAGTGCGTTTCGGCGTGTAAGCACGTGCTGTCGAGACCGCTCGGCTGCTGAAAAAACAAGCAGACGAGGCGCATGCGCGCGCGGGTAGGAGCGGTGCTGCATAGACGAGACAACACGCTGCATCGAAGGCGAAACGTGGAAGACTTGACGCGTAAGATCCAGCGACGACGAGAGCGACGAAGAAAAGACGCGTGGAGACGGGACAGCCGCAAGCAAGTGAGAGAGAGAGAGAGAGAGAGAGAGAGAGAGAGAGAGAGAGAGAGAGAGAGAGAGAGAGAGAGAGAGAGAGAGAGAGAGAGAGAGAGAGAGAGAGAGAGAGAGAGAGAGAGAGAGAGAGAGAGAGAGAGAGAGAGAGAGAGAGAGGGAAAGGGAAAGAGGGGGAGAGAGGGAGCACGGCTGGAAATCAGGCCGCGACGATGGGCACTGGTTGAGCTTTTTTTAGAATCAGGTCAGTTCGTAGTCCGCCCCTTACATTGCGGACGCGACAACGGCACGAGTGGCGCCGCACGGTGCATGTGAACCCACCACCACCCTACAAGTGGCCCTACATATGGTGATCTTAGCCGCGCGCAGCCTGCCTGCGTGAGCGTGTGATACGCAATGGATACTACTCGGTGGGGATTTTTGGCTGCATGTAGCCAGATATGCGAAGTTTTGTACCGAGAAAAAAGTGGACATCCATGAAACTTGCGCAATAGGATTTCTTTCCTTCTCGCGCTCTGTCTCTTGTACGCAGAAGCGTCGCGTCTCTTGTCTCTGCTGCTCATGGAAGTGTTTCACTTTGCCAGACGGTCATCTCAGAATGTGGCCGTGATCTTGTAATCACGTCCGGAGGATGTCATCTCTCGTGCACGAGCCGATCGTGGGAAGCTAATCCCGTAGCCTACGCAAAGTCGTGCCCGAGCGAATCTTCGACCGCCCACGAACTCCCTTGACACGTCGCAGCACCAGTCCAGGAAACCCACGGCTGAGACACAAGTATCCAGTCGCCGTGGCTGGTTACACTGGCACCCACGTGGATCTTCTCGGCCGTCCACCGCGTTGGGTGGTTTACGGAGCACGAGAAACCGCAAGAGCCGCTGCAGGACTCAGGCCGGTGGAGCAGCTGCAACTGCAGTTTCACCGGACCAACCCCACATGTCAACTGAGTCACTGCCACCGGACGGAAGAAGACACGCGGAAGCGAGCGATGCTGACAAGACGTGGGTAGATGTTTTCTCCAGCAGCTGGATGTCCGACCGGCACGGACGGATAGCCCTGAGACTTGCCGTTCGACGCGAGGCTTCAGCTTATTGTTCGACGGCTCGGTTCCTAAGATCCGGGCACGCAAGAAACGGCGTGCACACACGGCTTCACTTTACCGCTCTACCGCGCATGAAAGCCTCACACGGTGGAAGCGGAAGGATATCTTCCCAACGCTGTCGTTTTTCCCGCACGGATGTCGCGGCCAGAGGGAGTTAGGCCCGCCTTCTCTCGGTTTATATGTCAATGTAGTAGCAATAAGCTTCTGTAGCGAGTAAACGAACACGCTCAGGCTCGCACGTGTCGGATGGCCTCACGCCATCGGTTCGTGCGATGGGCACAGCAGTAGAGACGACCAGCGCATGACTTCGTTCTATCCCGAAACAATGTAATGATGGCGCAACCTCATTCTCCTCGATTGATATCAAGTAGAGCGACCGGTGCTGTGCGTTTGGTGCTACTCGACTTCGCTGGTCCGGACGACAAAGAAAGGTGCGCTGGCTTTCGCGTCGTACGCTCTACCGCTCGCTCACGCGAGATGTACGAACAGCATCGAGGGACGACCCAACGAGTGTGTCTCCGTCGTAAAAACTGTACCGATCCACGAAGATCCAGATCGAATTGCAAGCTCAACTAATCGACGAACGGCCCACAGCCCTGACGATGGGTTCCTTGCCAAAAGCCTCCTGCACGTCCGCGTCGTTGTCTCCGAAACGTACGAGGGCACGTCCACAAATGTTCGATTCCTGTGCGGGTGGCCAAGTCGTAGATCATTTATTCGTTGGCACGACTGGGAGTTACGGCTCGAATCGCGTCTTTGGCGAACGTCATTAGTTGGTTGTAGAGGAAGTACAGAAAGGAGTAGCAGATCAGTAGCTCTACAGTCCGTAGTTGCAGAGCAGTCCGTAGTAGCAGAGCAGGGAGTGGCTGTGGGACTGTAAGTAGTACCTACGTTTCATACACGCCCTGTTTATACGATACAGATAGTTCTTCTTCGTCCATCCACAGAAGAAAAAATGAGCTCAGGAAAGTAGGAACCAGTCAACCGCAAGACAGCAGCTGGCAGGACACGCCGCTTCGTCAATCAGATCAACGACAGTGCTAGCGGTTGTCCTCGTGGTTGTTGCGATGTTGTTGCGATGTTGTCACACTCAGCTCTTCCACGCTCGTGAACCGCTTTTCGGTTCTGCACGGGACATCGTTTGCACGGCCAAAGTTCCTCCTCGCAACGGCATCGCGACTTCTTGCTCGATTGTGGTTTGATCCTGAGGAGGCCGTTGTCGCCCCGTTCGGCAGTGGATGGCAGCAGCAAGTTCTGACGATACGGGACTGCCACGCATCAGATCGGCCATCAACACGGGATGCCGAAATTGGTTGAGGCAGACGACTGACCAGCATCGATGCCAGCGGCTTCAACTTGCAGATTTGAGCTCGCTCCGAAGCGTAAAGCACTCTCCTGGGTACACTGCAACGCAATGCGCGATGGACAGTGCGCCAGCTTTCTGGCTTTCCAACGTTGCTGGTCACGTGCTCAGGGGCCAAACGAGCGACGATACGAGCGCAAGGAGAGGGGACAGTCGATCGACGATGTTCTAGCAGCGATAGGGCAGAGACAACTTGATGCGAGCGGGTCGAGAGGGCGCAACGGTGGGCACTGACGCAATGGGTCGCACTGCTCTATCCCTCAGAGCAACTCGGCCACGTCTCGCAGCGAGGGGAGCGCAACAAGACGGAGAGCAGAGGATGGGGAGTTGCGACGCGCGAGATGGCGTGTTGAGAGGCACGCGGCTCGGGGGAACGTCTCAGTCGTTTATTGAAGCAGCACTCGACGAGTGTGGCGATGGAAGGACAGTGTGGGGCGCTGCCTGGCGATGGAAAGCCACAGTGAGTGAGTGAGGCGTCAAGTGCCTCAGCGCGTCTCTGTTGTCGCCAGTTGGTACCTTTGGGTGGTGCATTCGCCCGCCCCCATCCACCACCGCCTCCCGACCACTTGCAATGGCGTAGACAACAACAACGGGGCAAGGAATCATGAAAAGGAACAGATGATGTGGGGCTGTCCATGTTGGAGTTGAGTGTGTCACGTGCACTCTGCGCGAAGAATCGCCACCGGCTGCGCGGCGTACGTCTCCGACGATGAACTTAACTACCCAGTAGTCAAAATAAGTAGTCAAAATAAGTAGTCAAAATAACTAATAAGTATTGAGTGCTACTTTTACTAACTACTACTTCTACTACTGCTACTACTTCTACTGCTACCGCCGACGGTCCTCTGCGGCGCTCCGCTCTTGTCCTCCTTTTCCGCTGCGACACGTTGTGAGCCAGTGGCTGTAGCAGTAGCACAGACGCGATGACACGACCCGTCGCGTCTGACGGTCTGACTGTATGTCGATCCATCTGTCTGTCTGCCTGTCTGTCTGTCTGTCTGTAGCAGCAGTTGCAGCTCGTTGCACCGGTGATGGACGCAGCACTGCGCTGCACTGTTGCAGCTTTGCACCGCAATGTCGAGCAATGACACGGACCTCAAAGACGTGCGGGAGACGAGAAACGAGAGACACTGCTCGAGTCCAAACCCCATCTCCGCTCTCCCTCTCGTGTCGCTGTCGCGCGACGAATGCCAAGTGGCAGCAGCACAAACTGCTCCACGTCTGCTGTCAGCAGCAGCTCACGGGACGCGCGCGCGCTCCGCTCATGCCAAGAGGCGGCACAGGAGCTCGAGCTCAGCGGCCGAGAGGTCCCCCGCAGGCTCTGCCCAGAGCGCAATGGGCTCCGCTGTCTCTGGGGCGTCGAGATCCAGCGCACTGGCGACGGCCGTAGCCACGTGGTGGCTCTCCCACTTGTGGCTCGGGCCACTGCTGCGGCTGTGAGCGCTGCAGCTGCTACTGCTGTTAGCGCCGCTGCGGTCTTCGGCTTTGGTCTTTTTCTTGGGTGAGATCACGCGCGCCTCGAGCGACGTGCAACTGGCGCTGTGGCTGGCGGCGCTGGTGCGACTGCTGCTGTGGGGCGTCACGTCTTCGTCGAGGGACGTGGGGGAAACCGCTTCAATGGCGCTGCGCTTGCGCTTGCGGGGAGACAGGACGGGGCGCTGCACCGAGAGGGGCGTCTCACTGCTGCCCGAACGAGCAGCAGCGACGGGGGACGACGTCGTGGACATGTTGAGGGCGAAACGAGTCACTAATCGAGTGAGGGAGTCACTGGTCGAGTGAGGGAGTCACTGGTCGAGTGAGGGAGTCACTGGTCGAGTGAGGGAGTGAGTGAGGGAGTGAGTGAGTGAGGGAGTGAGGGAGTGAGGCACTTGTTGAGTGACAGAGTGTCGGACTGACTGGGAGTCGGTCTCTTGGGCTCTGGCGGTTGGGTGGCGGGCGGCTCGAGCTGATCGCACTCGCGCAAATTGAAATGTGAGCGAGTGGGAACTCTTTCTCCGTCTGCTGCTACGACTGCTACGACGACCGCTACTTCTACGACTGATACGACAACTGATACTACGACAACTGCTACTACGACTACGACTGCTACTGCTATTGCTGCTGTTCGGGCTACGACTGCTGGTCGTTGTTGTTGTTGTTGTTGTTGTTGTCGTTGTCGTCGTTGATTGCTACTGCGTGGGCTCGTTGCAAAGCCTCGTGCAGAGACGGGAAGTCTGAAAAAAACCGTGCGAGCAAGAGGAGGAGGAGGAGGAGGAG